TACTCCCTCCGTCCCTATTTACTTGTCCATATTTCCTTTTTTGGTTGTCCCTATTTAGTTGTCCATTTTGACAAATCAAGAAAGGACAACAAATTTTTTCCTATTATACCCTTATTTACACTTCTTGAAAATTGTAAAAGTGTATGTTGTTTTTCTCCAATTTATTTCACTTGAATTCAAATAAGTGGTTGTAATTTTGAAGTGAAAAGTTGTCATAAGGGTAAAATTGTAACTTCACTGTGCTAATCATTGTTGCCTTAATCTGTGTGCCATTTCTAAAGTGGACAACTAAAAAGGGACGGAGGGAGTACTTTAGAACACTAATTTCAAAAATCATTTATTTTTCTTAAATTTAATACAAAGTCAAACTAGATCATATAAAATGAAACATGCAGAATACTAACTATAGTTAAGAGAGAAGATGAAATTTTATGGGCCTCAAATAGATTAGGTTGGGTTTATAGTGAAAAGGCCACAGATGCACGGCCCAACTGGGCATGATCACTTTTCTATTGTTGACTAGATGAGTGTTGCCCGTGCTAAGCACGGGCCCAACGTTAAAATGTTATCATAATTTTACTTCTGTTTGATTTACTATGAAATATATTTGAAATTGAACGCAGTGAAAAATATTTTTAAATAACCGTAATTTCAAAAAACACAATGTCCATCATTTAATAAACGAATCATATTTCTTAGTCTGCACAATAAAAGAATCCACATGGAATAATATATAAGCGAGAGACACTATTATTTTTCTTTCAAGTTTCAACAATTAGTTCAATATTAAGTTGGGCAAACATTCATAATTTAGTATCCTTGTGCAAAGTTTATCAATATATATATTATAAGAAGGTGATCGATTATCACAGTTCGTTGTTATTCTTTAAAAATTAAATGAATAAAAAAAGTACTACTTAAAAACAATTTGCTATAATTAACTTTGATTTTCATGCCAAAAATATCTATGTACTAAATACATGTGGCCATATTTTCCTTCACATGTTATTATAAATGACAAAATAAGAGTATATAGTGTAAAAGTGAACAGATCATTGCATTAGTTATCCTGCTTTGCAGCCATATGTATCTTTTACAAATGTCAGATGTAATAGACTTAAAACACATGAACTTTAAAGTGCAATAATACAACTAATTTCTCCCATTCCACAAACAACTTTACTGCAGACATGTATTCATTAAATACTCTTCAATTGTTAATACCAATCATACATACGAATACATGTTAGCCAAAAGACATTGTGGCTACTTTTCCTGCACATTCGATTTAAAACAATAGGATATCAAATCTAGAAAAGTAGTGGCAGTAATAGATGGAATAACCGCACGGCTGCAACGTATAATTTATAATGGACTTGAATTATATTTCAATGAGAAAATTACTAATTTAAACACATTATAGCTACCAAATTTGTTCATTATATATTCATGTGAATGTCATAGTACTGAATGTTGAAGTGAGATACTTACATAGTTTAACATTTTCATAAGTAGGAGTGCTAATTACATACATTTACATACTATTTTCAATTAGACAAAAATAGATGCATCTTTCATGCTTGGATCTTCTGGACCATCTTTGATCAAAATCACCTGCTACATTAAAATTGAGGGATTAAATATCAGCACAGAATCACATAACTTATACAACACAGAATCACAAGAATGTGACAACATCACACTTCAACTAAACCTCGTCCTGAAGCCCTATTTCACCATTGACATATGCCATTTTATATAATAACAACAATAAGAATAGAAGCATCTTATTTTTTTTAACTCTCTCATAAGTTGATCACTTAGCAAGATAACAATATCTTGAACAGTTATCAATGTAAATAGCACAAATAAAACACTACCTTAGCTTTAAAAAGCCAACCAAAATAGCATAAACACTACATTTTTTAGCATTGGAATAGAAGAATGAATTAATTCTAAAGCATGATGAGAAGTAGTGAAAGAAAATAACAAAGCCAAATGTTTAGAACTCAAAGCATGAATTACAAATGTATGAAATGAGATCTAAGTTAAAGATTAATATTATAGTAAAAGATTGAAAAATACACTTAAGAAAGCACAGAGACAATATGACCAACAAACTTGAACAAATCTCAATAGGCCTAAAAAATGACAATACTCATCCAAGATTTTAACCCATATAGACGAAGAAAATCTTGGCAAGCCATAAGACACAACTCAAACTATATTATATATAAGACTAAAGGGGCATTATTCATAAAGAAATTGATTCAAAATTGTGACGGTAATGTCAAAGGATTAATCAATCTGGACAAAAATTATGAAATTTCTTTAATTTTCCTTTAATCTTATCTTGGAGAAATTCAGTTCAAGAGTTTCACATGTAGATCTTGAGCAGAGACTAAATGAACATTTGATCGCGACTGTAAGAATCTCAAGTGTCGATCAACCATGAAGAGGTAGAAATCGAGTAACTCAACCAAAATTTTAATCCATATAGACAAAGAAAATATATTATGATGCAAAAAATATGTGATAAAAAGTATAAGAATTCCTTAAGTTTATATAGTCTTGACAAGTTCACGGATTGCATATGGACAAGGTAAGGCAAGTCATACCTCTCGTGAGAAAAAAAATATTATTTTATTACTTGTATGTTATGTTAAATTTTGAGTAATCAAAAGTATTGAAAAAGTAAACAAAATAGAAACAATTAAAGGGACAAAAAATGTACAAAAATAGATATAATCACAAGGACAAAAAAATGTAATATCAAGTACAATTGCATATTTTTAATCTCATAGCAAGATCAGCTTGAGAAATAACATGGCAGTAGCAATGTTTGACCAAAGCCTATCCCAGAATTTGGATCAATTTTATTATTTTAATGAGGCTTACTTCATGCATAAAGTGCTAATTCACTGATTTGGAGGATAGGGGGAGAGTGAGTGTAACCATATAGAGTTCATCACAAGAAAAATATAAAATAGCATAACTTGTGCAGGGTATATAGTACTAAGTCTCACCCAGTATTAGCATAAAGCTTTCCCAAGCTTTGCATATAGTAGACATGATTATTCTCATCATCTTTTTCTATTTGAACTTCTTCTTTTATGATAAAAATATTTGATCTCTTTCGATTTGTCTGTTCGCTTTATTTTCTAATTAAGATATATATATATATATATCGCTCCAAAATGTGGAAGATCAATTAAATGGCAAGATATTCAACATTCAAATGGAAAAAGCTATTCACAAAAAAATTGGATGCAACGCAAAAATTATCACTCCAAAATGTGGAAGATCAATTAAATGGCAAGATATTCAACATTCAAATGGAAAAAGCTATTCACAAAAAAATTGGATGCAACGCAAAAATTATCACTCCAAAATGTGGAAGATCAATTAAATGGCAAGATATTCAACATTCAAATGGAAAAAGCTATTCACAAAAAAATTGGATGCAACGCAAAAATTATCACTCCAAAATGTGGAAGATCAATTAAATGGCAAGATATTCAACATTCAAATGGAAAAAGCTATTCACAAAAAAATTGGATGCAACGCAAAAATTATCACTCCAAAATGTGGAAGATCAATTAAATGGCAAGATATTCAACATTCAAATGGAAAAAGCTATTCACAAAAAAATTGGATGCAACGCAAAAATTATCACTCCAAAATGTGGAAGATCAATTAAACGGCAAGATATTCAACATTCAAATGAAAAAAGCTATTCACAAAAAAATTGAATGCAACGCAAAAATTATCCATTTTGTCTTACCTGGAGAAACAAGATATGATTCATAAACCAATGGCATCTACGACAGTCAATGTTACAGATGTGAAAAAGCGCACAATTGAACATCTTAGTTCAGGGAAAAAAGAATATCCAAGCATGGAAAACAAATGTAATCCTTCCACCCACAAACATAGCATGGAAATGAAAAATCCTCCCATGAAAAAAATGTGAAATCATGGACTAAACATTAATCAAGGATAATCAAAGTCTTTCTATTGTTGAAAGATTCAAATTATAATATAGATATAAGAGGATTAATTATATCTTGTTATTTTTAATTTAGACAGATTTGCACAAGAAAATACAAATCAAAATAGGCAAACAGTTCTACCAAACAGGTTTGATTTCACAAGTTTTTAATTACTAACTGTTATTTCGTATTGTAGTTTTTGATTCTATTAGCTTAATGTGGTTATTCCAACAATATCAATAGAGGAAAGTAATATCATCTTTTAGGAACTAAAACACAATAGTTTTCAGCGATAACAATAATTATAACACCAGAAAGAATATATTTTCATTTAAGTTGATAAATGGAGTACTTGTAAAAAGATAACTTTTAACTAACCTGTTACCAGAGGAGAACATATTTTCAATTTCTACAAAAGAACAGGGCATAAGACATCCACATAGCAACATCAAAAGCTTGCAAAACACAACATCCAGTGGCAGCAACAACAGAGTTCCAAAAAAATCACTTCAAGAACCACAACAAAAAGTGTTCCAACTGCAATTCAAAACAATAAAAGAAAATGTGTCTAGAGACTGAATCGAAGTCAAAGAAAATAAATACAATCCCATTTATATTAGTCAATTGCAAAGATGAAGTTTTAAAAAATGTACAAAATAATTCAAATACCTTTTAATTCTTTTTCATGGGATGATTTTTCATTTCCATGCTATGTTTGTGGGTGGAAGGATTATATTTGTTTGCCATGCTTGGATATTCTTTTTTCCCTGAACTAAGATGTTCAATTGTGCGCTTTTTTGCATCTGTAACATTGACTGTCGTAGATATCATTGGTTTATGAATCACATCTTGTTTCTCCAGGTAAGACAAAATGGATAATTTTTGCGTTGCAT